GGAAAGAGTAACTATGACTGTAGCAGTGGAGTAGATAGATGGTAGTACCATTTGCTGTCATGTAGAGGGAAATTGCCAATTTTGTAAGACATCAAATGGAGATATTGAATAGACAGTTGAATATGTGAGTCTGTCGCTTAGGAGAGAAGTACAAGCTTGAGATAAAGGGGATAGTGCCGTTCCTTAGGAACTTGTAGTTTATGGAGAATATAGATGTAAAAAATGTATTGCACATGTCATAAACTTATAATGAAAGCCATAAAAATGTACAGTAGAACCATATAGAAGGAAGACTCTAACATCGGAGGGATCAGGGAGAGCTTCACAAAGAAGGTGACGAAAAACATATAAGCTTTTAAAGGTAAAAGCTTTAGTGAGGGATTCAATAGAGTGCTATTGGTATAAAGAACTATAGCTCAATAGCAAAAAAAAAAAAAAAAATTAAAAAATGGGCAGAGAATCTGAACAGACATTTTTCTAGAGAAGATATACGCATGGCCAATAGGCACATGAAAAGATGCTCACCATCAATAATCATTGGGGATATGCAAATAAAAACCACAACGAGAATCACACCTGTTAGAATGACTGTTATCAAAAGGACAAGAAATAACAAATTTTGATGAAGATGTAGAGAAAAAGGAATCCCTTATGCACTGTTGGCTGGGAATGTAAATTAATATGGCCACTATGAAAGCCAGTATGGTGATTCCTCAAAAAATTAAAAATAGAGCTACCTTATGACCCAGCAGTTTCACTTCTGGGTATTTATCTGAAGAAAACGAAAACACTAACTCAGAAAGATATATGTACCACCCTCTCCCCGCCCTGCTCATTACAGCATTATATATGACAGCCAAGATATGGAAGGAACATAAATATCTGTTGATGGATGAATGGATAAAGAAAATGTGGTACCCTGACTCATTGTTGTGTGTGTGTACATATACACACACACGCGTACATACATACAGTGGAATAATTTTTTAGCTATAAAAACAGGAAATTTGCCATTTGTGACAACATGGATGGCCCTTGATGGCATTATGCTAAGTGAATAAGTTAGAAAATGACAAATATTCTATGATCCCACTTATAATGGAATCTAAAAACAAACAAAACTCCCAAAAAACGTGAGCTCAGGGATAGAGAACAGATTGATGGTTGCCAGGGGGTGGGTGCTGGGAGGGGGTTTGAAATGGAGGGGCAGTGCGAAACGGGTGAAGGGGGTTAAAAAGTACCAACTTCCAGCTATGAAATAAATCACGGGATATAATGTATGACATGGTTATTGTAGTTAACAGTACTGTATTGTATATTTGAAAGTTGCTGAGGGAATAGATCTTAAAAGTTCTCATCACAAGAAAAAAATTTGCAACTGTATGTGGTGATGGATGTTAATTAGACTTATTGTGGTGATCATTTTGTAATACATACAAAACGTCCAATTATGTAAACCTGAAACTAATAATGTTATATGTCAATTATATCTTGATTAAAAAAATAATGTTATTAAATAAGCTTCAAATAACAGAAAACTTTCAAATGCTTAAAGACAGTGTATTATATAAAGATTATCCCAATGTAGGGTAGCTTTCCACTTGGTTAGTTCAGCAGTTAAGTGGCTGCACCAGTGACTGAAATTCTCACTGTCTGTCTCCTTTGCCATTCTCAGCTTGGTGGCTTTGTCCTCACTAATCTCCCCTGTAGTGGTTATCAGATGATTGCCACAATTCCAGGTGTGACAGGGTCCAGCATTAAAAAGAAAGACTAAAACCTTCCCCAGAGCCTTCTAGTGGACTTCCTTTATGTCTCATTGGTCAGAACTGGTACACAGTTGGTTTTGACATACTTCATGGTTGAAGGATAGGGTCATTCCTTGCAGAGTGGTATCTGAACAAAATTGCATTCCTTTTACATGTAGGAAGTGAGGAATAGATTTTGAGTGGACAACCAACATTGCTCACTGCAGTCAGGTATACAAAGTGAGGATGGCAGTCCCAATGTAAGGATCAGCTGCTCAGAGACAAGGAAGCTATCATAAAGGACCTTAGAAATCTGAGAAAATTGAGCTTTGTGTGAGAGGCATAAGGTGTGTTAGAGATATTGAAGGTAAAGAGCCAGGTTGGGATCATATTGTGAAAGGCCTTGAATTCCCTGAAAAGGGGTTCAGACTTTATTTCTCTAGTTAATGGGGCAGCTTCCATGTGTGGCAGTGGGACAAGACTGAAGACTGGGTAAGAGGCTGTTGTCGTAGAGTCCACGCGTGAAATGGACAGGACTGGAACTGCAGGTGGTATGTAGCGATGTGGGATGGAGAGATGGATGGTAGACTCGCTATATTTAGCAACTACTCAGATGGAGGAAGATAAGAGATCGGGATATGTTGACATCTAGGATCGTTCAGAGACTTCTTGTCTAGTAAGGGCAGAAGTGGAAGAGAATGAACTGGAAGAGAACCTAGAAATCAGGTTAATTTCCTCATTTTACAAATGAGAAAATTGAGACTTAGAAAGGTTGTGATTTGCCCAGGGTTAACCAGCCATAAAAAATTGTTTTTGAATGGATCAGTTAGAACACACGTTATTTAAATCTTAGGTCAGCAGGCATTCAGTCTCAACATACTTAACAACTATAAATTGGCACTTATTTTATTCGTTTGAACTTGAGCTCTCCTGGCAGAACATAGCATAACTAAGTTGTCATTTGCCAATGTTCCTTTTATGTAAAAGCTGGAGAAAGACTATTTTAAATGTGTCAAAAATAAAGATATCCTTATGGTATTCTTGGAGTCTGAGGATAGCAGTTCCCTTCAGAAAAGAGGAAAGTGATTATCCTCTCAATTCAACTATCCAGTTACTGTTGTGTTTTCATTAAATGTAGGAAACCTATACTTTCTTCATGTCACATGGACATGGCCTGTAAATATAATTATTTACTATCTTAATCGTAGATACTTGGCTAAGGAAAAGATGATGACAACAAGTCCAAAACTGAAAGGGATTTTTCTTTATGTGCAATCCTTAAAATCTCAGCTCTGGGATTTGCCTTCCTCCAGCTACTACTAGATTCCCTTTTCCTCATTCTTTTTCAGCTACTTGGGCCATCCTGCTGTTTTCTGAATCCACCAAACATGTCCCATTTCAGATCCTTAGCACTAGCTCTTGTCTTTGCAAGGAACAAATGTAGGGAACCAGGTGCCCATATGGCGTGCTTCTTACTCCCTTCAGACCCGATTCCAGCATCTTCCTACCAGAGCTCTCTGGACTGCTGTATATTAGATAGCAACCTGCCAATGCATTCTTACCCCCCGATCCTGCTTTATCACCTGACATTATTGTATTGATTTTTCTCCCTCAACTAGAATATAAAGTATGTGAGGGCAGGGATTTGCCTCTTTTGTTTACTATAGTAGCCCCAGCACTGAGAACAGTGTCTGGCAAATAGCGGGTGCTTAATAAGTGTATATGGAATGCATGAATGAATCTAGAGGACCAGTCATGTTATATGCTTGCCGCTGAAACACAAACACAAGTGCTTGGGTATCTGAGTCTAAAATCCTTCATATCAGTGATTTCTAAGTTATTCTGGAAGCTGCTTTCAAGGATCATCATGCAGAAGGGAAGGGGTGGGGTTCTACTTCTCATTTAGAAGTTTTGTTTCAGGTAAAGATGAATGGCTGTTGGAAAGCACTTCTTTAAATTTAAGATGCAATCTCTAAGCTTAAAGTCTTAAAAAGCTGCTTGCCATATTCATTTTGTGATTTCTCTGCCCATGATCCGTCTGAGCAGCATGTTTAACCTTTTTCTTTACATAATTTTTTAAACCTTATTTTTGAAAAACTCATTAATTAAGAATAACTAGTTTATCTAAGAAAACGTTTCATATCAAATTATTCTTTAAATAAGTTTGTTTAATGCTAATGTACATAATATCTAATTCTATAAAATCAGGATATTGAACCCTTGGGATGTTTTTTGAATGTCTTTTGAATCTCATGGTTTGAGACCTCTGATTATTTAAAGCAAATGCACCCCACCCCACCCCTGCACACACTCACTCTCAGCACACCCCCCAACCCCCCGACCCTTTAGTCAGACATGTGGCTTTAGCAGCTGTTTGCTTTATGTTTTTTTTTTTTAATAGCATTCCTTAACTATGAGAAATTAATGCTAGTTTCTATTTTTTATTCAATTTTAAAAACTTTGATAGGAAAATGACCCACTTTGGTTCTTTCCTTGTGTTGGTAGAAATAGTATCATATCCTATATTTAGAATTGATACCTTTTCATTCTTGTATTTTGTGTACAGAACTAATTTAGCTGAAGTGGATTACATAAATTAGAACGTAAGGCGTTCCATTGAGAGCTATTTTATGGCACTCGCGTGTATAACTGACAAGAATTTTGAAATACTGTTTTCTTAATATTACTATCATATAGTAATTGAACAATACATAAAGTACACTGAACTGTTTTTATGTTATGGAGTGTTTACAATGTTTAGGATAGAAATGGTTACATGATCTTATAATTTAGTGAATAATAAAAAAGATACATAGTGAGAAATGTGATGTAAATATGCGTGTGATGTGCATGACATGTCAAGTAAAAATAAACTTTGCAAGTTGAGCCTGAGAGGAATAAGTAACTCAGGAAGCTAAACTTTTAAGTGCTGAATATTACCATTTAAAAAGACTTTTTATGAAAGTCTTTTAAAAAATGTTTTGTTTACATACTTAACACATCATAGACTTATTTAATGTATTTCAAGTGAGTGAATTATTAAGATTGATCTGTTCATAGGTATTGCCAGGAATTTAGGTGTAATTTTGTAGGGCATCAGACTGGATAAATGATCACTTCAATATGTGAAGTGAATATTTAAATACCAGTTTTCTCTAATCTAGTTTCTGAGCTATATCTGTGATCATACCGTCAGTGTTTCACTCATGTTCTTTGGACCTTTGAGAGCCCAGATGTCTACTGTACATATACATTCACATATGTAAGAGGACCCCATGTCTTGTATTTGAAAATTACAGTATTATGTTTGACTTTTATTGGGAAAATAAATAGAAAAATAATTGTTCAAATGTATTGAGGTTTTGAGTGATGATTCAGAAATCATTGGGAATGACCAGGTAGAGAGAGCTAAGTAGTGAAATTTCAAGCTTAAACCAATAGAAGATCAGTTTAATTCTTTTCTAGTCTTTAAATGTTTTTAACACTGTGGCATCTCCCTTTTCATTAACAGATGCACACTGGTCAGCGTAGAGATGGTCCTCTTGTACTTATAGGCAGTGGACTTTCTTCAGAACAACAGAAAATGCTCAGTGAACTTGCAGCAATTCTCAAGGCTAAAAAATGCACTGAGTTTGACAGTACAGGTGAGGATTATTTATTTATTTTTGGTAGAAAAAAATTTAAGTAAGTAATTCCTTTGTGTGACTCCATGGAGATATGGCTGTATACTTTGAATCTCATAATAAATCTAAAATATTTTTATAGTTGTAAACTACTTATAAACTGAATTTGTTTAAGAAATATACTGTTCTGTCCTAAACTAACGACAAAGTTTAAAACTTTGTCGTTAGTTTAGGACAGAACAGTATATCAGAAGAGCAAATTTATGGGTTTTTTAATGACTGATAAATTATAGTGCATGTGATACTTTACTTCTTCAATTTTAATTTGAAAATAAAAGGAAAATTATATTTGCTAATGTGGCTTTAAGATATGTGGTTTATGATCTGATTTTTCATGTTGGTTGCCTTTGAAGAAAATTCAGATTAAAGTTTATAAAATGTAGACTAACTAGTTATAAAAAGCAGACTAGTTAAAGAATTATTTTGGTTTATATTTCTGTTTCTCATACTGCTTTTTCTTTGTAGTAACTCATGTCATTGTTCCTGGTGATAAAGTTCAAAGTACCCTGAAATGTATGCTCGGGATTCTCAGTGGATGCTGGATCCTAAAGTTTGAATGTAAGTGTTGGATTTGGGAGAATTTAAAAATGAATTAAGTAGACTGAATTTCATTTTTCATATCGCACTATTGCCAATAATTATTTAAGCACCTTATGTTAATTTTCTTACCTCTGATTAGTTACTGCGTTTTATAAAATCTTCTCATATTAATAGTATCATTTAGTGTTCTTGGTAAATGTCTACAAATATGTTCTGGTTTTAAAGTCTTCTTTTTTCCTACTATACCAACTATTTTAATAAAGAGTAAACAGATTATGTCATTGATGTTAAAGCCCAAGCAATCCATATTACTATTAAATAGTATATTTAACTTAATAAATGTATGTTTTAAATATACTGCTATGAAATGTAAGTGATTTATTGCTATCCCTCTATGATTTCTATAAACTTGCATGCAAAACACCGTTTTGCTTTCTTAACTAATCCAGTATATTTTAGGAAGCTGCTGGGCAATTTGGACTGCCTTATACTACCTGATTTGGGGCAGTTATACCAGCTATTATCTAAACCTCTGCTGAAAATGTATTCCCGTTACCCACACGTTAGTGGTCAACACCACCACCGTGAGAGCTGCCTTTCCCCTTCCCTGTCTTACTTGTTTGCCTTTCTTAGCCTTGGCTTTGCTTAGGACTTAAAACTAAATAAAGAAAGAAGCTCATACAGAGTTATTTCTACTCTTTAATAGCTAAAGTATCTACTTTGGATACAGTGGCTAAAATAGGACAGTGGATTGACCTTTTCGGTTAACTAATTGTTTAGAAAGAATAGTGGCAGCCAGGGGTTATAGGAGGAGTCCCGTGATCATGCATTTGAGTCTCTTGATCCTACTGGTGGTTACCTTCCATAAGGCTACACATGCGATTAAATTATATAGATCTTTATACATGAACACAACACATCACGAGTGCTGTATAACTGATGAAATCTGAATAAGCTGTATGGATTGTATCAATGTCAAAGTCTTGCTTTTGATATTGTGCTGTAGTTGTGTAAGATGTTAACCTTGGACACTGGACGAAGGTGCATGGGACTTTCCTGTACATTTCTTTGCAACTTCTTATGAATCTATAATTATTTAAAATTAAAAAGTTAAAAAAGAATAGTGTGTATTTTTGATGAAACTTTTTTTTAAAGATGCATCAGAATTAGTTTTAAAAACTTTTATGGTTTTGTGCTTTGAAGCTTTTTGGTAGAGTGCAGTGCTTGATTTATTAGATCTTAATTATTAATTTAATATGTTTGAAGTTGATTTGGTGTGTAAAATGGTTTCGTTTTAGCAGTTGGTATGCCTGTCCTTTATGCAGCTACCACTTTTGTTGTGATGCTAGTCTAGACTGATAAGGTCTGATCCAGCTAAGTGGCTATGACTAGTAATGCCACTCTGTCTGTTCCCATCAGTGAGTGTTACTAGTCTCTCTCAGTTACAATCAGTTTAAGAAGTAGGATAAGCAATTGGACTGACCATTTACATAGTAAAGTTTCTCTTTCTGTTTCATTCCCATTTTTTAACCTTTTTTTTTTTCTTTCAAATCTATGGTGAGTCTTACTAGGCCTCAGTGTTTAAAAATTGATTTACAATGTTTCTATGATTATAGATCCTTTTGTACTGAATATGTGCCAGAAATCTTGCCAGTGGTTATAGGAAGAAATAGATTTTCATAATAATAAGGTATCGGTAATAAGAATCCATGAGAAGTTGGTAATGTTAAGGCATTTACCACTTACTTTGAGTGTATAGTTCTTGTGAATTTGCCGAACTTGCATCTGGTTACGTGCGTAAGCTGCATGATTCATGTCCATAAAATCTGCCTTCTTTAAGAATTGGAAGTTTTTGTCAATTTAATGGCTTGGCCATGTCATCTTTATATAAAATCACTGATGTACTCAAGCTGACATAATAGTGTGCTCTTTGGTGATTCTCAACAGTAGTGAATAACATATTCTAATTTTAGTAGTTCTTTTAAGATAAAGATGGATAGAATCTCTTATGAAGTTCATATCCTCATATTTTCTAATACAGAATCCAAAGAGAAATAGGTTTGAGACAATTACTTTAAATAGTCACTGGGTTTATAAAAAGAAGGCAAGAACTCTCAAATACCTTCTTTCCATATAGATATATATGTCTTACAGTTTCTATATTGTTCTTCATGTTAGGCATATAGTTTGATTTTTAAAAAAATGTTCAGAGCTATTCAAAACTATCTGAAAACCATCTATATTAAAGAAAGATGAGGTAGACCAAAGCTTTCAAAATTAATTGTAAAGACTTATGACTTATTAAAACTAAATCTTATGTTTGAGGATATCCTGGCTTAACTATATAGAAACTTTAATCCGTTTCCCGTTTGACTCGAGAATACTCACTGGCAGTGCTTGCGTCTGCAGCGTTTGCCCCAAGATAACACACAGATGATGGTCCTAACCATCCGCCAAAGTTTGCCACAAAATATCTTGCTTTTGTTATTTTCACATCGCTCTAGTGTATTGATAGTCTTTGGAAATAAATGACATCATTCTATTTATAGCATTCTGTTTTTGCCAGTGGTATTTCCATTTACAAAATATAGTAATTCTCGATCGCTGAAAATGTCAAATCATAGATATTCTGCTTTGTGTTGTTCCATACTTTTAAATTTACCACACACACACAGAAGTTATTAAATACTGATCATCATATATATTTTTGTTATATTAGGATTAGTGGCAAGTTCTGTTTAGAAAGAACAGTTTTTATTTTTTTAATTTTTTTCTTTTTAAAATTTTAATTAGTTTCAAGTATACAGTACATTAGACATTTCTGTTACATTAGGATTAGAAGAAAGTTCTGTTTAGAAGTAACGCCAAGAACAGTTTTTATATTTAATTTCACATTGAAGACAATTTAGATTTGCTTCAGCCTCAAAGAGGCTGATATTAAATTAATGCTGGCAGCAAGCTGCACTTTTTTTTTCCTAAACAGGAAATAGGTTAATATATCTTTTTATGGGGTTTTCCATAAACTACGTAGATTCAAGAGGAAATTTTATCTAAACATTCTCTATAGATAATTGACTTATTTAACAAGTTAAAGAAATTTAAGTTAACAAAAAGGATAATTATCCAAATTTAACTATTGAAGTTTTTTGTTTAAATGTTTGGTCTTAATTGGTTAGTATCTCATTACATTGTATATGTAAAGTGTATTACAGCGTTACAGTTAATGGACTTGGCATGAAGATTTTTAAAATAGGCCATAATTTTACTATTATACCAGCCATTCTGTCTCATCATATTTATTTTACAGATATTTTACAGAAATGAGAGATAGAGAGAGGAAAATTTCTTTCTTCAAGATTAAATTGTGGCTGAAGTTCTGTTTTAGTCCTAGTTTTGATGCTAATTCCTCATAGGCAATTTATAACTATGCGTAAGGCTGAACTTTGGTAATGAAAGAATAGAAGATGCACAAATTAGTCATTTTATTCAGCTCTTAGAGTGTGAATAAGGTGGAACTGCATCCGAAAGATATAAACTAGCCTTCAATAAGAGAAAATATCTTTTATTGACCTGTTCTTTTAGTATACTGCTTTCAGAATTTCCTCTAGCCTAACCTTTTTATAAAAAATTTAATTCTGCCTCTTCATTTTTCATCTCATTGTGAAGAGGAGAGCAGATGGCTGTCATCTTTTCTTTAATAATCTCTTCTTTTTCCCCACTCTCATCTAAGTTTAAATAAAATTATTGCTGTAGAAGTTTTGAAAGTCCTCAACACCTAAGGGAATTGCTGTGGGAATGTGCCAAACACTTGGCGTTGGACTTGTGTCTGTGAGGTGAGGAAGGGCCGGATAGGGTGGTTTTTGTTTTAGTTGAGGAGGATGGAACCTAAAAGACAATCATTACATCATCATTTTATAAATGACCTCATGATCAGATTAACATGCTTATACTTTTCTATTAAAATTTGTTTCTTCAAATGGCTCTTGAGAGTGCTGTGGAATTTAAAAAATAAATGTATTTTTTTATATTTCAGACTTTGTTAATTATTATAAAATTAACATGTCAAAGCTTTCGATAAACTAAGATTGATTAGGCAACTTTATGCTTGCAGAAATCTTTTATAAGAATAAAAAAATTAAAATGAACATCCTTGATCTAATAGTTTCACTTATGAGAATTAACTCTCGACAAGTAATACAGATGAAAGAATAAAACTATTTGCATTGTTATTTCTAATAGCAAAACATAGGGAGAATAACCTATATATGAGAGAATTAAGAGAATTCTGGAATGCTGAAAAATATTTTCTGAAGAAAATCACATCTTTATATAATTATGAAACTGATGAATTATGAAAAACAAGATTTTCAACTTGTTTTATTATGAAAACTGACGAATTATGAAAAACAAGATTTTCAACTTTAAAAAGCATAGAACAGCTATATCTTTACTTTCAACAATATGTAAATATGTAAATGCATACAGCAAAGAGACATAAAAAGAAACCAGTGGTAGGTAAGTTAGTGAGGCCTGTTTGTTTATAACAGTTTTAAAAACAATGTGTCTGTTAAATGAAATTTAAGTTCTCTAGGAAGAAATTCAACTTCTCAGTTCTGATAGCAGTTAGAAAGTATATCTTCTTTTAGTCTTTTCTAAAGAGTAATTGGATGGATAAGGGCCTCAGTTTTAATCAGGGAAATTAGAACCTTTATGTCTATATTTCTCTAGTTTGATACACCAGACCTTTTATACCCGTTATGCAGACCAGGCAAATACATTTTGATATGGTGATCATCTTAATCAAAACAAATTCTTACATCAATATTTGTACTTTAAATATATGACTAAAAAAAGAACACATGTGAGTTTTTAAATTATTAAGAAAATTTTGGGATATTAGACTGAGTTTGGTCTTTAACCATATTTATAAAAAGAATTATTTTAATATTATAATTTGTAATACAAAGTTTTAAATTGATATTCAAATTTTGCCCAAGAAAATTTTACGATATGGTAAT